TTCACATTTTACAAATTACTTTTCAAAGATTCGTTTTAATATTATCCTCCCATCTACCTATTAGACTCAAAGGTCACCTGTCCTTTATATAACGACCATAATTCTATGCAAAGAGAAAAAAAGAACCTGCCGGTATGTAACTGTCTTCGCCGTAATGTTTCATCAAATGCCATTGTCAAAATGCTTGTATTCGCCTCAGTAATTTGTTTTAAAATAACCTTCGTCCTTGTACTTCCTCAAAGTTAAAGTTGCAATGGGATGCTTGAAAGACTAAAGAACTTTCAAAGATTACAGTGTTCTGGGATATTACGCCGTGTAGTCTGGTAGCCTTCTCACTACCCTGAACATGGAGGCAGCAAGGAGCTCTGAAACGCCTATAAACGACCATTGTGCTCCACGGCGCAACATCCCAGAAGACAGTCATCTTCATTCCAGCAGCCGCGAGAATCTGAAATCTCACACCGTTCGTTTTTCCCAATAATAAATCAAATTACCGTGTTAGAACGCTAAAAGATAATCAAGCTAATATTTTGTCTATAAATTCGTTATTTTTTCCATCATACATTTCCCTGTAGTATCTGTAGACGTGCCTACAAAGTGACAACAGGTTAGCTTTGACGTTATTTCTCTTCACAGTTCTGCTAACTTATCTAACTTATATATTCCTCGGTAAATGTTTAGGCATTAAAAAAAATTAATTTATCTTTTTATATTTTCGATATCTACCATAGCTACAAGCTACAAACTGAATGTCAATGTAGTCAATACAATAAAATCTGCTCTTATAATGGAATCCCATAAGACCTAAATGTGTTTTCCTTTTCATACGTTTTCAGCTTAACACAGATTCATGAAAAGTTTACACATTGTATCTCCCGTGTAGTTTTTGTTCCATAAAACACGTCACAAATCACATCACTTTCAGTTTCCCTTCTTTCTTTTACTGTTATTTTTGTCAGCATATTGCATACATTCGTCTGCAAATGAGCTTACGACTTTCACATTAGCAATACGGAAACACTTTAAATAAATTCGACAAAGGGAGTACAAAAAAGTTGTTATCAGCTAGAAATAAACATTCAAATAGACTGTTTCTCCATTAAATTCTCTCCCCGATTATACATTCACGTTTTCATTTATTAGAGGTAAATTTAAATTACTTATTTATTTTACATTCGTGAGACAAGACTTTTCCGAGAAACGAAACCTTTCCATATAATCCAGCCTCCTTTATATATAGGTAATATTGTACATTTTTAAAATCTCTGTATGTATGTGAATTGTTCCGAATTGGGGATATGTAAGCGGTACAGGAAGGGGGATTTTAACAGACGTCAAATATATGACAAATTTCTTAAAAATCGGAGACTTTGTTTAAAAAGTAATTGAAAATGGACGTACCTCAGTACCTACTTCATGGTACAAGGCTTTGTTACATTAAAAAATAAATACATTTTTGCTAATTTTAATATCTAATAACAAGGTATTATATTCCTGGTAGATTAACATAATTCTTTTGTTATCTACAGCTGGGAAGTTTTCTTCTCATATCCAAGCAAATGCAGGAGTCCGACAATCAACGGCACACAGATGCTGAAGTCTGTAGGCAGGGTGGAGAGAAATTACAGAGATGACCGGCAGAAGTGGAACTGAGGATAGTGCTAAGAGAATAGGGGTGAGGTACAGGACGAGAGGAGGCACGAAAAGTGAAAACAGAAGGTCATTAAGGCCAATTAGCAGCCAGTTGAACCACGTCAAAGACCTCCTTTCTTTCCTTTTAGTTTCTGTTCTTTCTCTTGGTACCTAATTTCTTCTGACCAAGAGAGTTTTCTTTCCCTTTTTCTCTTTTATTCTCTTAAAACTCTTTTTTCGGTGGTCAACCGGTCTTCTTGTTACATGTGATGTGTTGATTGGCTAAATAAGACACAGTGGTCTTTACACTGTTGTTGAGTTTATGAAGTTAACTTAGAAAAAGGCCACTTCTGTAACTATTGTAAGAACGTCTCCTCAATTACATTCCCTACAATACGAAACCCATGTACGGTTTTCTGCTCCACGAGATAAGACGTTTGTTTTATTTCGGTTTCATTTGTAAAAAAAGAAACATAGCACAACATGTTTTAGCGAGGGTGTGCCTTTTTTAGAAGTAGGGACCCGTTCATCTAACACCCAGAAACGTTTTACGTATGGAAGGAAACGTATTAGGAATTACTCCCTTCGCTGCTTTTATATTATGATTGCATATCAGTACAATCCGCGTTGATGCCGTTGTAGATTTACTAGTCGTTTGATGCTTAGGTTACTTAGTGAAGCTGTTTCAAGTATAGACTTCATCAGATAAATATGTCGCTTAATTGACAAAGCAATAATAACCGATAAAAATTTAATTAACAAGGAAGTAAAATATTCCGCTCTTCTTACATCTCAATTGCTGACGAAATTAGAAGGCAGTTGGCCGCGCAATAATTTTGGGGCGAAAGGGAAGTGGGTAAAGCCATTAAACAAAGTGACTGCTACTTTCTTTTGTGAGAAAACATCAAGTCAATGTATCCATGGATGCCCGTTGTAACTTTTGACCATTGCCATAGTGAACGGTCTAAAGTAAACATTCAATGTCATTTCAGTTATACTGTTAAATCAAGTTTGGTTTCAGTTTTATTCAATGCATATCCTATTTAAAGTAACATTTTGTAAGGATGTTTGTTCTCCTATGTGTTTCCAATCGGTTTCAGAATTCGTCATCGCAGTTTATCACATGTGTCTTGAAGTAATATAAAAATACAATACGTTATCTAAAATCAAGTTTCTGCTCGGGACGGGTGATTATGAAGTGTTAGCTGAAAACACCCAAGAAAAAAAAACATTGATGGGCCCTTGGAGGAAATAATCTTATTATCCTAAAAATGAAACGAGAAAGTATCTCAGTATTTTCCAAACGACATTCGAACCTCTATATCCCATAGATCAGCAATTCCTACTAACAAACAGGCCTAACACACGCTCTTTTTCATGCTATATGCAGAAAAAAGCGAAAACAATAAAAGATAAAAGTACAACGAATATCAGTAGAGTAGCGAACAAAACAGCTGCAAAATGGGGAAAGCTTACAAGAAAAGAGGCATCGACGGTAAAAGAATATGGAACAGAAATGAAACAAAAGACATACAGTACGAAGCAAAATGAAAATGGGTCGGTATGCGTCACTCACTGATACAAAACATTTGCCTCACACATTAGGGAACCTGCCACACTACAGAATGTTCGGCGTGAGAGATTAATGGTAAATCAAACAAAAATAAGCAAATTAGTAAATGTACGTGTAGCGTAACAATTATGACGTGACTCTAGATTTAAATTCCTGAATTTTAATGTTTGATGTTCAATCACAAATAGAACCAAACAAAGAGGGCGGCCATGTAAAGACTTCCAATATAAAAAATAATCGAAATATGAGATGACACCGCGTAAAACATTTATTTTCCAATTACTCTGAAAGTAGTTGGACTCACGGCGAAATGGTTATTGGGCATATGTTTAATTTTTCTCTATAGTTTTTGCTGGAAAATATATTTCGCCCCGGTAAGCAGTCACGCTCTAAATGAGCTCAGAATAGCACATACGTCTTCTTATTGTTGTCCGATTTTAATCGAAAACTGGTTACATCAACAATATTTTTATGAAAGTTCCCGATATAAAATTTAATAGCAACAAAAACCCGTCGAGCAGTGACGAACAGGTAGACAGTAAGTGCATTCTTGTTACGTTTCGTTGAGAACAAAAGAAAAAAGAAATGTTTTGGCGCAGAAGCATTGATCTTCACCTGTTTGCGAACAGAATTCCAACCAAGCAACAGATTGTCATGATTTCTGGAATAGAACTTTGAAACAAGCCATGGTAACCCCCTTACAAATACATGCCTACGAACTATTCATAATCAATAAGTTTCATTCGAAACTACAGCTTGTAATTAAAACCGCTTGAACAAAGTCAGTACATTAACTGATATTTAGTAGACTAATAGTGTTCTGCGTATTCATAACAGGCCGCTAATAATATTTCCCAATACGTTTAACAGGGTTCATAGTATTTGTTTTGGACGACTTTCACTTGTTATTTCTATGTTGTTCCAACACAAAAATAATATACGCAACACATGCTAACATATTAAGTTAACATTTAAACAAGAACCCTTAACTTGACCTAAACTTTGTTAGTGACATTTTCTACATAGTATAACATAGGTTATTATGCTATGCCATCATGGAAAGTTCTTCTGGAATTGGTTAATAACAATTCCTTCGAAACACAGCAAAACGCATTAATCTGACGATGGAATAGAGAAGCAGAGTTCACTGTTTCACGCACTACAACGTCCATCTCCTAAGCCTAAGTTTCATCTAGCAAAATCCCTTCATGGGCCCTTTAAACAAAACTCTCACACACCTCAAAATGAAGAACTCTGCCAAACGTCTGAACAACTAACAGATCGATGTGGATGTTGGCATGTTGTCTGGCTTTAAATTATTTACTGCCCATCATGGGGATGATCCTCGTTATTAATACGGTTACATAAACATCAATGTGTGTGTTCATAGCTAAATGAGTATGTTATGCTCTGTGACCGGACTAGTCATAAATCAGTTCCATTGCCAGCCAGCAGGGGTTGTTTTCCAACATGAATCCCACGCATCCATCTCCCAAATAATGATAATTAACATATAATATAAATGATGGGGAAAGCGACAGCATCATCATAAACCACGTGGGCATTTGGGACCCATGGTACACTGGACGGTTGTCACTGCCCTGCTAAGACAGAACAGACTCATCAGATCACGAAGTTCTGCCGATTTATTAGAATGCCACTATATTGCCTGGAAAATACGTTAAATCAGAGTTAATGATAATCATAATAATGTTAACGATAACAAGTTTCGAATACGTCAGCTCCTTATCTATGGCGATTATCTTAATTTATTCCGGGTAAAATATACATACCATGAAGAAAATCAGTGAATTTAATTAGAAGGTAGTATGGAGACTGCTGTAGAAATAAGACAGATTAATGTAATAAACGTTAATATCGACAGAATATACTAGATGAGACTTCAATTTCTCAAAGGGCGAGTACGAAGAGGCTGTCTTCTGGGCTGTTGTGCTGTGTAATCGGGTAGAAATTTACCGACGCATCAGACGTGCCTTCATTTTCAGTGCGATGAAAAGCCGGAAATCGTCTATGAGAATACATGCCACAGCACCCCGGGAGACAGTCAATATTTGTAGAGAATGTAGTCTTCGGCTGTTTCCTTCTATTCAACTCCATCGATGAGTACTTGAGATGCTGGGTGTCTCGACCTAGTCAAGAAATTTCCATTTCTTACTGTGATTAAAGGAACTCCCTCACTTACACCATCCCACTACAATCATGTCACAGACTTTGCTTAACAAATCAGAAAACTCGTTTCAGTATTCGGATCAAGCCAAAGTTGTGTAGGCACACGGCGCAAACTACAGAAATGATTTGCATTTTATTTCCTTTAACTTATACCCACACGCAGTAGTTTTCGAAGGTGAAATCATTACTCAGTAAAGTGCCATTTGATAGACGTACAACCTTATATATATATTAATTAACATCATCGACTATAAAGCTATTTTCATCCGAATTAAAATGTTACTTGATCAATCAGTGATCTTTAAAAACACACTTTTCGACTAGAGGGCTAAATTACTGACCGTAAACTCTTCACACCACAGACAATAACAACTCAAATTTAATAGTATCTTGGCCAGATTAGAGTTCAGGTCTAAATCTTTTAAACTGTCAATGTAAACATGGATTATTTCCTTAGACAGAATTAACAAGTTGATTTTTGTAACGATGAAATGTGATACTTTCCTCGCGGTACGGTTATAAATGGTTTAAAGATATAATATGACAACCACCAACTACTTTCTAATTCATGATTTTTAATGAAATTGTATAGTAATATGTTTATCATATTATAGATACCAGCGGGTCATTACATTTACCGCTGAGATTTGTTCTATAATGTGGTTGCAAGTCTACGTATAATTCTGGAGGATAATGGGCTATTAGAATATGTAAGAACAAATACGCTGATGTTATCTGATACAGCAGATCTACATTTAGATTAGATAACACAGTTTAGGATGACATACATTTGCGTTTTAACCCAAAGGGTCTCTCACTTCCTGTCCATTAATAATTTTACGTAAAAAATACATTTTATGTTAATTACCTTACTGAGATAATCTTTCTCAAAATTTCTGATTTTTTCTGAATTGTTATGATGAGCTCAGAAGAAACAGAGAGAGGAAGAGTGGAACTCAAAGCAGGTAATTAAGCAAAATGATTATAACTATTAATAATTTTTTATTAATAATAATATAAGGAGGAGGAGGACAACGATCTAATACCCACAGTATCTCTGCACTCACCAGCGCTTCAGATATTACATTCCGTGCTGCTCGTGAGCTCTGCGGGTCAACGTTAAGTTCATTACAGAGACCAGCCCTTCTGAACTGCATCCCTTTTGTATCAACTAAGCTGTAACCCTACCCACTCCTAATGTCTCTCACAAAGTATGGCATACAGTCTTATTGAGGACAAAGCATATAGCCACTGTTATGCACTCCCACATAATTAACATCTAGCTAGCGCTCTCTTAAAATTTGATTTTTTCATTTTTTCTCCTGACTGCGTTTCAGAGTCACAGAGACTGCCAAGGCAGTTTCATAAAATAATTTATGCACAATAATAACAACGACTCGATTCCTTTATCAGAGTGTTTGCTAACAGCAAATATTCTATGGCAGGCGAACATCGATAAAAACGCAGAATAATAAAAATATGCAATACTAACAGAAATTCACTGAGAAGGAATAAATTAAAACTAAAGTAATCTAAAACGAGAAGGCGTAATAAATCTACACTTTCCCGCAAAGACAAAGACTCTTCAAAGGAGAGAGCTTTAGCTAACTGTACCCACAAATTTGCATGTCAGTTGCAGGAAATGACGTCATTAGCTGAAGCAATGATCACGTTAAAAATAGAAACGTCTCTTTAGGCACGCAGACATCAACAATGTTCATAATGGAATTGCAATTTATTTTGTTCCTATAAATAATAAAAATCAGAGATCTATTTATAATAATAAAAATTCTATTAATATGACTGTAACACAGTTTAATACATTTCACATGCCGGAATATATTTTTCGGAGAATATTAATACATATTGATTGCGCAATCAATCAAAAATACACGGAAACAAGTCTATCAAACTAAACGTTTCTTTCACGCGACGTCTACAATAAAGTCAAAATACTCAAATTCAAGGCAAATCGAACGCGGAGCTGTGTAAAATTCAGTATCTTGATAACACCTGCCATTTTCTAGTACTTCCATTAAAAGTAACACTGTATGCATTACAGCCTTTCTAGGGCTTACCCCCAGTAAGACGTACATAAATGTGTGAGTTTTGCAACTGTTTGATGACACTGAGCAAACTGAAGCGATTACATATCGTCTACTGAGAAACGTAACGATGATGACGAATTTTACGTCGAAAAGTTTATCGGTCGCAGTGTAATGCAAAGTATCATCTTTTCTGTGTCAAAGTATTTTCTGGAGAAACTGAGGAAGAAACATTAACGCTAACTCCTCGAACGTCAGACCTTTTGAATAGCACCTGGCAGTGAAGTACACGCAGTAAGCACCGATCCATAGAGTAATGGTCCGATTAAGGCAGGCGATTATTTTTAAGCGACACGAGTATGAATCTGGCCATTCTGTTCTTTTAAGAGCCGAGGAATAGAATGTATGGGAGTTACCTACGTGCCTACACACGTCGCCATGATCTGAAATTTGGAAATGATAGTAACACAATCGAGTTTAAGCCCTACAGAATGTCGATGAAGCACATTCTGTCAGAGTGCTTCTATTATTTCTTTTGCTGCAAGGAAAGCAACAGTTCTAAACATGTACGACAGCTGGTACGCAACTTCATATAAATCTAAGCCATGGTTGGTGAATATCAATTTTCTAGATGCTGGAACATTGGATATGGGCCAGAAAAATAGTTGTCCCCCTCTATCCAAATCGGCAACAATATATTAGTTTGGTATGTACTGTGGACAATGAAAACACATCGCAGGATGGAACAGAATTGAACGATCGTGATGAACAGGTCACTGGGGTTTCCCGTCAGCTCCAGATGGGGTTGCGGTACACTCCGTGACAAATCACAACTGACAAATTTTTCTGACTTTTGTAGACAGCCACGGCTTTACCTTCAAGGGACGGAACATCAGCTTCATCAAGACTGAAGCATATACGTATAATAGAAATGTATATAAGCCTCTGTACCCCACAGAACTACACCTCTACACACACCAGTTAAGCTGTATTAAACAAGTAGCCTCATCATCCATTCCGTCTTACAAATAGTTTCATATTTGAATATCAGCCTGAAAGTCTTCTAACCTGACATGTTTTGGGCATTTTTCCTATGTCGGCAAATACTAAGAATGTTACGTAAAACAGGATATGACTGCTTGCTTCCATATCCTTCCTGATTAATTATTCTAAAATGCCATTAAGTGCAAATGGACCACTGCTGCATAGATCTTAATGTACCAATAAACTAACAAAGTACTATCCATAGTATTTAACAAAATTTTGTCCTCTATCTCGGTTACTTATGCCCATTTTAACTATGAACAATAACCTGCCTAACAGGGTGAAATATAAATCCGAAATAACTGGCAAATTTAAGCATGTAACCAACTTACGAAACAGTTTATCACACTTATATTTTATTGTACTGAATAACAAAAACAGCGACTTACTTTATTATCAGTGAGCATTCATTACTTCTGTGTTTACCAAAAGTAGACATCGATTTGACACACCAAGCTCCATATTTCCTGAAACGTGACAGGAAGATTAAGAGGTACGTTCCTTGTTAAAAATTAAGTAAGACAAAACAGAAAAAATGTTCCTGAAAAATGTTTTACGTAATAAAATCTTTATCTGGGTAATGCCACAGAAAAGAAAAACTTCATAATACATGAGCAGTTTTAGGATTTCAGTACACTTTCGTTAAGATACACTGGGAAAAAAATATAATTTACTACTGTGTATGGAAGCGATTTTAATTTTTTTTCTGTAAATTCAGTTATCTGTGACTGCTAGGTTCATTTTCACACAGCATTTACACTGAAAAAATTAAGGGCATTAACAGGCCAAGTAAAAAATTATCTTCGATGACATGTAACAATAAATTACACATTTCACTAATTCCCGTCTCATATAAAAGTTATAAAAACAAGCTTACTACTGCGAATAGGAAGGAAAAAGGACTCAAAATGCTACAAAAACTGAAAATGAGAGTGATTATTTTTACACTGTTTTAAAAACTTGCAACGACTAAGGCCTTAATTAATAATTCAATTCAATTAATTTATTTAAGTGCTTGACAACAGCCAGATAAGGCCAATAACAGTCAAGCACTGAACAGCAGTACAGGATGAAATATAATAAAATAATTACATTCATTTCGATAATAACAAAAGTAAAACATTACAAATACGAAATCAAACAAATGAAACTAAATATATAAATGTACCATATTATTATTATTAATAATAATAATTCAATTCTTTATTATCAATGTGCTGTATCAACAGCCAGAAGGCCAGTTACAGATACAGCACAAGACATGAACAAAAGAAGGCAATAATAATTACAGAATGGTAACAACAAATAGATTATCTAGAATTGTATTATTGCAGGTATGATAAAGGCAACAACAACAATAATAATAATAATAATAATAATAATAAGGTAACTTCAGAAAACTGCCATTTTAGGAACTTCATACATCATTCGAAAGACGCTGTTGTAAAATATATAGTCATCCCTCACAATAAAAGTACATAATACATGTAACACATTAAAAAATGTATTTCGGAGATAGCTGCTGCACTGTATACCTCAGGGTCAAGGTTTGTCTCGGGTACATAGAAGTAAATATCCTATAAAATGGCGAACAGGTGGAATAATAATAATACAAATTTCTAATAGAAGGTCACAAGTTATTTTTCATTTTGCCAGTCTATTTTATAGGTCTATAATGACAACTAAGAGTATTTGAATTACTTGGCTGTATAAATAAATACTATCCGTTATGTTTGCCATCGTCTTTCAGTGTTGTGCTGGCCTATGCAAGTACTGGCCTTGCGACGCTCTGATCACTCCTCCAAGCAGTCTTATCACATGTCTAAATAACTATAAAACATCCCGCACGTGAAGGGGAACAAAGTCCTTCAAGGACTGTAGGGCCAAGCGGCAAATAAGTATTATCTGTTGTGTGTGTGTAGACGACATTTACACCGAAAGCTTAAATTATACCATATGCCAAAAAATATTATAATTTTAATATTTAATACATATCTGTTATTTCTGGTTTTCCAATACCAAAATATTTTTTTAAAAAGTAAAAATAATCTGTGTGCATAATTTCTGTATCACGACAAATTGGAGAAAACGAAACGCAAAGACAGTAAGACAGAAAGAAAACGTGTACTGCCTCATACTGTAGCAGCGTACAGACACGAGTAACTTTGAATTGGTACATGGATCGTTCGTTTACCATTCTATGTGGAATTACCACCCCCGTAGCAGAATACAGTACGTCTGTCCATATAAATCAAACGACAAGTGAAAATTATTGTCCACTAAACTGGAGACCTCCCGCCATGCACTATGTCAGACCACGGAACAATACCCCCAGTGTCACAATAAATGTCCATCCTCAGTGACGGGTACAGATATGAGCAGGGAAACAATATTAATAACGAAAAAATAAAAGGAAGAGAGAAAAACATCTGGGAATTCTGGATAAAATTACGTCGGCTACCATGTCGTCACCACAGTTACATTAAATATAATGTTTACTTTTAAGTAACGTCGGGTCTCGCACGTGGAATTTTAAAGACATTAAATTATTAAGGAATGTATTCTATCAATACATCCAATCTTATGGATGGATCGGACGGCAGTAATTACATTCCAAACGAACAGAAAGACAAAACTTATTCCATTAAACGAATAGTTATAAACAAAAGTAACTTGTTATAACACAGTTTATTTATATTTCATTGATTATTTCTTACACGCAGCTCAACAGAAGATTTATGGTTTGTGGGGAAATGTGATCCATGGTCATATGACATAAAAAAGTTTCAAAAATATCTTTAGTGTGCCTACTTTTCAACAGATACTTCCTAAATTGTTAAGTTTTAAATAATCAACATATTTGTTGCAATCCGCATAAATTATATTTGTAAGATCTGTGAAGTTCTGTTCAAGATTGGACAAGGCTAGAAACGATCAAATACGGAGAAAATTACACATGAATTCAACAGAAAATAAAATGAAAGAATACAGAAACAAGTTAGAACATCTGCAAACAATGGATGATGTGATACCAGTAAAACAAGCCTCTCGTTATACACCAAGTGAAAGATGAGGTTTTGGCAGTCCAAGAAGAGGCTGGAATGCTGAAGCCAGAAGAAAAAGATTTGCTAGGCACTGAAGTGACGCTGATGATGATTGACAACGCTGTATTCAGAAAGCAAACCGTCTTAGCTCTTAATGCTTATTCTGTAAGGAAAATTCGGAACGTGATTTGAAGAGGCGGGGTTTCGTGAACACGATGATGAATTTCCGGAATTAATTAAAAGAAGCAATTTTAAGACCAACTGACAAACTATAATCTTTTCAAGAAATACCCCGTACCGTCGGGTTAGTTGTCAGATAAGATTATCATTTATTATACAGATGCAACCATTTAATCATACCTATAACCGCAACTAAAGATCTAATTGCACCAGTTGATACAGTGAATAATGTGTACTCTTGTCATTAATGGTACCGTCTACAATATGAAATACTTAATGCAGCAAGTATGCTACTGGGTGTAATACCATCAGATGTAAGGCTTAATATTGCAATTTGACTTGAAATTAGTTGTGTTAATGACGAGAATTTCAAATCTGGCCCAACACGTTATACCAAGTTAATAAGCGATCAGCGGTTACACTGCAGTACGCTGAGTTTCCAATGTTAAGCTACTTCTACTGCATTTGTAATAATTCCAGCTCACGATCTGAAGGGCTTTTCTTTGTGTCTTTAGGAGACAGAAGTTAATACCCGAGTCGTAGGCTAAATATGTGCATGCAAATACAACTGATTGCGTGTATTAAATAGGATATACTTCTGAAATAGTAACCATTTATATAACCAAACAGTGTAATACAGTTACATTTTCTTCTACTACTGATGCCTGGTAACGAACTCTTTGCTGTAAATAAACGTTTACAAGTATTATTAAGAGATTTCAGAAGTAGCACGGATGTTTAATTTCTTCAACCACCTCAGTCCTTTATTCTCTCACCCAGTTTCAATTTATTCCAGTCTACTTCAGTTTCTTTGGTTATATTCATTCACTATAACGTATTAAATTAATTAATTTAAATATGTAAAAGTAATTAATCTATTCAGTGATGTCACATATCGAAGATACATAATAAGGAATAACCTAAATATGGCTGTCTACTGGATTGATGCGCCATGTAGTATGGTAGAAGTTAACCGAAGTTTCAGAGGTCCATGCTGCCTCCATCATTAGACACAACGCCGTGAGAAACTCAAATCCTACAAGGAATAACCTCTTTGGAAGCAACATATCTCGTTCATGGCATAAGAGAGATTCATAGAGTAGCATCATTGTGTAGAACAATAAAAACCTCACCGCAGTATTAATTTCCTTATAGAATATCCAATAAACTGTTTTGAGGAGTGACATTATTTCCTTGCGTGAATATATGTATTAACATTAGATTAATAAGATGTTGAATCTCTTCTCTTGCATAGCGCTGGATTACCTACAATATATAAAGACCCACAACAGATGCAACAATATTGTTAAATTCTCTGCAAATTAGAAAGAGAGACAATTTTTAGAATCAACGTTTAAAAAAAAATATTAATTTGATGTGTTCATTTCAGAATTCACATTAATGACCACTCAGTGTAGTGAGGAGGTGATTTCCATTTGACCACACGTTTAATCTCCATACACAATTAATTAAAAAATATGTTGAATTTAGTGCTCGGATTCCACATTCAGGGGTGAAAGAGCCAGTAGCAAGGCCCCTTAGGAATATGAGTGACTACACTCATGTCAGATTGAGGTCACTGACAGGTCAGCTTCGTGTCAAAATCAGGACAATATCAGTCCGTGGGCTTCCCGAATAGAGACCTTTGAAATTTTCCAGATCATTCGAAACGCATATATCTGCTGATTTGTAGAAATCTGAGTGGCCATACTCATGTCCGTTTGAGATCACTGGCTGATCAGCTTTATGTCAACGTCACGAAAAAATCCGTCCATGGGTTTCCCGAATGGAGGCCTCTGAAATTTTCAAGGTCACGCGAAAGACATTTTAAGTGACTCAAATACAATTTTAACGATATGAAAACTGCCTCTGTAAAGCTGCCACCCGAGTCCTACAAGTCTTCCTTTTTCAGACGTACATCTGTAGTGGCTCTAACGACATATTTGAAGGATGGTAGTGCGGTCGATTATTACATATTCAATGTACCTTTAATAATAGCATTTTTGAAGGCACTAACCATTGTCGTTTATTCTCAGTAGACTTTTATCAAAAAATTCTTAATTCCTTCCTTGTTAATAAATTGTTAAGAAATTCCTTCTTTAATGTTGTCGATTTCAGGTAAATGTTAAAGGCAAACTATAGCAATAATATAACGAGAGTAGGCAATTCCGATACACCCAAGTACAGGCGCGAAGCCCACCGTCCTCGTCTTCTACGCCTACCGACTACGTTGAACGGTAATA